TCTAATAACACTCATTAAAATATTTGAATAATTGATAAAAAATTAATACTGAAATGAAAATTTTAAAATTTATTAGAGACTTAAAACTTGATTAAACCAATTTTCTTTTACTCTAACATTTATAGTGAAAATAATATTTTTTTCATACAATAGAAATATGTTAAAACAAGATTTTCTAAACAAACATTGTTTTGAAGTTTAACATAAATGTCTAAATGAAATAATGTTTAATAGTATAGGAAAATATTATAAATGTTACTTTAAATGCCTAAGCAATACAAGAACATCTAATGATATAAGAGTGTCTAACTTATGTTTGAAAAATGTTAAACGCTATAATAATTGTAACAAAACATCTAATTGCAAGAGTGTCTAATAAACTGTTAGACTCTCTAGAATATTTGTAACCAACACTAAATGTTATATATCTTAAACGCTTAAAGTTTCTCAAAAACAGGCATAGTTAAACACTTGTATCATGCTTAAATGCTTAGAATTGTCTAACGTTTTAATGCATGTACGTTTTTGTACTCTTTTGTTTGTTGTATTGTGCTCTCTTTTTCTGTACAGATTATCAACTTTATTCAAAAATCTGCTCAGGATCAAACAATGTTAAGAGATAGGAAGATATTCAAGGAATGTTTCATACATATTTTCTACTTGCTTTTTTTGTACGCTGAACACAGTTGCTTTGCAAAGATTTAACATAGCTCCTGACTCTACCTTAAAGGCTATTCACCTAGAAAAAAAGTCAAAAGCTCTAAGTAACGAATCTTTTTTTAAGACATCTATATAAAGAATTTTGCATGAAGAGAAGAGAAGAACTTTTGCTACCAAGATTATTGTTATACGCTCACTACTTTTTTCTCTAAGCTCTTTCTTTAAGACTTATCTTTAAAAAGCTTTCTGACAAGTTTTCATAAGTTCGTTGTATTGATTTAATATCCTTTGTACGAGAGTAATCTTCTGTCTTGTAATATTTCAAAAACACTTTGTTGTTTTCAGATTCATAAGTGAATTTAAACACTTGTAATTTTAACTCGGTGGAGTTAAATGTTCTAGTCAGTTGGACTAGTGTTGATATCAAGAGTGGTGAAGCTCGTCTAACCAGTTTGTTAGTTTGTAAACCAAAAGTTATTAAACTTGTGTGTAATCTTCGTGATTGATGGAACTCCTTAAAGGAATTTAAGGGAGAACTGGATGTAGCTAAATTTGGAGCGAATCATTATAAAAATGAAGTGTGCTTTACTATTTTTTCTTTTAAAAGTTTTCCATTCCATGTTGCTTTATAAACTAAGTGTTTAACTACTATTGTAAACCATTTAACCCCTATAAAGTAATATTAAACATTATTTCCAAAAAGGTTTAAAACACAACTTGTTCTCTAAATTTCCCTTGTTCATATTTCACCACCTATTACAATTATGTTTTTGTCAACTCTTCATCATCCGACACCATTTTTCCTATCCCCTAAATTTCCTTGTTCTCCATTATTCATCATAAGTTTTTGTTTATTGAAATCCCCAATATAAATTTAAGGTTATGTTTTATGTTTGGGAAGACATTCACGTGAGCTTTGCCCATCGAAGAATAAATCGAAACTTTCACCTGGTCAGGGACAACACTAACAACCAAAATCATTTAGCATCGATGGTTTGGTTGGTTTTTGATTTTCAACACTGAGTTTGATTGTTGTTGGTTAGTGGTTATGGAAGGGGTTTTTTCGTTTCAGGATTATAGTGGAGGGGTGTAGGATTTTTGTTCTAGTATGGGGGAGAAATCTGGTTAATGTCACTAGTTTTGGATAAACATAGATGGACTTTGTGTTTTGATTTGCAAAGCGAGCTTTCAGACTTTAAAATCTGGTTCGTTCTATTGCATTATGTGATGCAACATGTTTGTATCAAATTAAGGAATTCAAGTTTACTTGACCAGATAGGGTGTTTGGAACTGGACTGCGTGTTCAAGTTGAGTTTTGTGTATGTGTATCGGATTTTTAAATTCGGTTATGTATACTCGAAACCAGGACAACTTTTCAAAGTCTATGATATGGAGTGTGTGATGTTTGAAGAATGTTACTCTTATGTTTTGTTTTGCTACTTTCTCTGATGGTTTGCTCGACTTTCTTCTCATGCACAACTTGTTACTTATATTTCCCTTGCATATTAATTGAGTGTTGGTGTTTGTTGCCAATGGTTTTTCCTACTTTCTTGTTTGTTGCTGATATTGCAAGAACACATGGTGCTCATACATTTCAAGGATAAAGCTATGCACAATGTGCAAGAATAAGACCTACGATGTCTACTTGTAGAAGAGCCTATTAAGTTGATGTTGTGGAAGTTAATCATGTTGCTACTACACTAGGGGTGGATCTTGTTGATGAGCAACACCATACAGAACACATTGAGCAAGTGCAAGAGGACCATGCAAAGGAAGAACTATGATATCCTAGAAGTCCACATGGCACATCTACTTACTAGTTACGCAGATCATGCAACATTTTCACTATGGGAAGACGAGGTTAGTATAGTAAATAAAGGATTTTTTTTTTGGTGATGTGTTTATAAGTTATATGGTTTGATATGTAAATGTTTTGTCTAGGACTAATGAGAGCTGAAATTGGTTTCCCATGGTAAAAAACTAAATAAATTAGGTGTTTGTCATGTTAATGTTGAGAACTTTGATATCAATTATAGATTGATGCCTCTTACAAGGACAATCACATTTTCTTGTGCTAGTTACATTGGATTGAAGGTCATATTTATATTTTCTATGCTTTCCAGTCATTTTACATTCTAACAATACATTTGTCTTTCTTTCAGGTTGTTCATTAGCTCTATAAGATCTCATAATAAAAACAATAAACCTAACTTGAAAAGCAATATATCTCACATCCACTCAAGTAACTCATCATGTTTAAAAAATACCTCATTAGTTGTAAAATGTCTAGTATAATTTCCATGAGCCATTTCACTTCTAATGACAAAAATGAAGGAGTCTTCCATGTTGAAGCTTTGATTTACTTCATCAAAGTCCTTGAAGCCTAAAGAATAAGCTTTAATCTCTAATATCAAAATTATAACACCCACAAACAACACAAACTAACATGACTACACAATTCTCTATATAATTACACATCTACTAGATTGCATAAATCATTTCCAAAATAACCAATTTGTTCATAACGAATCGAATTACAAAATTCGCGTAACACTTGGTGCTCCAAATTACAAAATTTGAAAAATATTTTTGTGCACCAAATTGTACATTTTGGTTTAACTTACTAGATCTAAGATAACAAACCAAATTACCTAATTCACGAGAATAATTTGTCAAATTTAGGACATGTCATGTTAATCAGAACAATTAATCTGGTAAATTTTTTTTGAAGAATGTAGTTACCAGACTGAAAAATATGGTGTACAACTCCATATCCGAAAAAAGTGTACCAAATTGATAACTACATTCCAAAGAGTGTAGTCTAGACAAGTAACTACACTCCTGAAAAACTTTTATCGGAATGATGGTTCTAGTTCATATATGTTGCATTTGATAATCCGATTAGTTTTCCCATATTCGTGACAAAAACTAGATTCCCCGTTCCGATGCAAAAAAAAAATGTTACCTAAATTATATAATCTGATTCCTTTACATGAAGAACCCAATTCACCAGACCCTAAATCACCATAGAATCCACCCCTTACTCTTTAGTACTTCAAAACAAAATATTACTTTGATTCAATTGATGAAATTCCATATAACACATTGTTGAAGTAGTCCACCACCAAAGAAACTAAGAATGGTGCCAACGGATGTTTGGTTCTTCGGTGTCAAACCAAACAAAGGTTTCAATGCAGGAAGAAGACGAAGAAAGTTTTATTCATTTATTTAATATATAATTAGAGGAGCCAAAAGGGAAATTGATGCAAAATTTGGAGGTGCAGAAAGAAAATAACAAGGTACAGGAAGAAGCCCAATATGATTTTGAAATCCAAAGAAAACATTGGCACATGATAAAAATATTTATTATTTCTTACATAAATATAAAGTTGTGACATTGAGACATGATAAAAATATTTATTATTTCTTATATAAATATAAAGTTGTGTGGTAAAGTAATATTTTTCCGACCATCTTTAATTTACATAAACATTTTTATTTGGAACCATTGTATTCTAATTTAGACATATATTATGAATAATGATTGTATTATTTTTTTGTAGTGAAATCAAATATTACGATTCTTATTAATCATGCGAATCAGATATTAACAAAAATATTATAATCTAAGTTAAGAGTCCATTTCACGGGTAAAAAGACAAGAAAAGGTAAAAAAAGCTAATGTTTATCAAGAAAAGGTGATGCGAAATGCTTAAAATATTTTATAATAAAATACCCTACACTTGGTGTTAATCACATGATTATCCTAGAAAAAAGCAACTTTATGCTTAAAAACAGCAACTTCACAAGTATAGAAGATGGCAATAAGTTAGATCTGTTTAACATTCTTAATTGTATTTTAATAAATTATGTAAAAATTAGAATAATCACGAGAAGATTAAATGGATTAATTTGAGTGGTACAGAAAATAAATAAATTTACAGGCCAAGTTGCATAAGTCTTTTTGAAACCGGCCATGGGATGTGGGAAATTAGAGGTTTGATTACTTTATTCGTGTCCATCCTCACAATGATGCACTCTTAATATATTTTATGGTAAATAAAGCAAAGGCACATTTGAAAGTTCATAAATTACAAAAATAGTGGCAATTAATTTATGTGTTTGGGCAGTGAAGTTACATTATTGATTGAAAAAGGAAGCTTCCTCCTTGGGATGAGGATAAAGAGAAACAGAACATGCCGGAGTAAATATTAAAAAACTAAAGAAATTGATAAATTAATAAAAAAATAATAATTTAAAAATAAAAGAGGTGGTGACAGGAAAGGCGCGTGGCAGCCGTGGGTTTAACCCAAAACAGCCCTTCCTATATCAGAGGCAACGGAAAAAGGATCCTTTCTGCTTCTTCTTTTCTTCCACACAAATAATACATCATTTCTCTTTCTCATTCTCTCTCTTCCTATTCGCACGTACACACACAACACGCTCGCTCTCTCTTCTTTTCCAATTCCACTTTGCGGACACGAGTGAGTGAGTACTGTTCCGTCAAACCCTTATTCTCTGTTAATTTTCTGTTTCGCTGTTTCATTTTGCGCGCTTCCTTTCATCGCTGCCGATTGCGATAATGGTTGTTAATGATCACCATTTCAATTGTTTGATTCTCATTTCTTGCACTGTTAATTTCATTTCTTCATTGGTTTCTTGTTTATCTTGAATCTTGATGCATTCCGATTCGATGCGTCCGCTGCTCTCCAATTACATTGCATGCCTTTTACTCGCTTGAAGCATTTCATTTTTTCATGTTGCGTCGCATGCTAGCGGATATATATGGTTAGATTGACTTTTTGGAATGCGTTGTTTGGGATTGAAATGTGCCTTCCTGTGATGTGGTGTGATGTGATCATGCGTCGTTGTAGTGTTCTTTGTGATTCAATGTTTTTTTTTTTTTGTGTGATTGTAGTTTGAGATGGGGATATATCTCAGCGCTCCCAAAACAGAGAAGGCCTCTGAAGATGGCGAGAACGACAAGCTGCGGTTTGGTTTGTCTTCCATGCAGGGTTGGCGGGCTTCCATGGAAGATGCTGTAAGTAATTACCTCCTTCTTTTTCTGCGTTTTGTGTCATTTGCTTCCGCTTGGTTTTTATGTTGTCGTCGACAAGTGTCGTGTTCGCTGTTTTTTTTATGCAATAAGACATTTGGTGCTTTGGTTGCCTTTGAGGGGAGTTATATTAAAAGAGTAGTTTGAGTTCATTGACTGGCAACGAAGTTTAACGAATATCCTAAGCTAGATTGACGGTATAGATATTAACGTAGTGAGTCGAGTGGTGGCTGACGAGTTAAATTTGATATTTGCGCAATTGACTGAGAAATTTGTTAAAGGAGCAGTGTCTTGTGTTCAATGTAGCTTATAGACTAAAAAGTTTCACTGTTAATCTTCTACAGTGAAGAGAACAAGACTTCACTTATTTCTGTACTTGAATTAAAGTTATTTCCGTCGCATATTGATGTGATTGAGCAAATGTAACTCAGTTTTTCTAATTTTCAGAGGTATAAATTTCCATCCTCTAGAGTAGTTTTAGTGATGAGAAATTGCTTCTCTTTGGAAGTGAATTTCATATGTATGAAGTAGATGCTTGGTGTACCTGATGCTTTTGTCCTACAGTCATCAGTAGCTCATTATTATATTACAACCCATTCCATGGTGTATACAAGTTTTAATTCTCTTACATTGCTTGCCAGCATGCAGCTATCCCATATTTGGACGAGTCTACATCTTACTTTGGCGTTTATGATGGCCATGGAGGTAGGTATCAGCTCTTTATGTTTTCAATTGTATTTATGTACCATACTCATTTTCTTAAGCAAGGAGAACATGATTTCTTACAGATTCTTTTAAATTTAAATTAATTTTGATCTGTATCTCAGCATTGGAAATGTCCCTCTAAACTATTTTTAAGCCAGGAGGAAATGATTTCTTACTGATTCTTTTAAATTTAAATTAATTTTGATCTGTATCTCACCATTGGAAATGTCCCTCTAAACTATTTATAAGAAAATGTATTTCATTACATACGAAGTGGTCTCACATTTCTAATATTTGATATGGCTTGAAGATTTTTACTTTGAAACTCCCTTCAGAACTCACCTTAGCAAGGGTGGGTTTTACCGGCTTATATAGTGTTTTCTTTTTTGGGTCATTGATTGATTGGGATTTCATTTTCTTTTTTGACCCTATCTTCTCTGTTGACCAATGTCACTTAAAATGTGAATAACAACATTGTATGAATTACAATTCTTTCAAACTTATCATTGGACATAAATACTGCATAAGTTTTCTTTTTCCCCTTTTCTAATACTTGCCTCGTTGCAGCGTTGCTTACTAAATGTAATATGTCGTTCACAATTTTCACTATTGACAAACCAAACAAAACCCTTAACCTTAAACATTTTTGGCCTACTATATCTTATTAGATTCAAGTGATATAGGATTTATTGCCCCCATATTTTTGTTTATTTATTTATTTATTTGGAACTTTGTTCTGCAGCATAAGTTAAAGGGGAAAAAGGGAGGGGGGAATATTCTTTTATATGGTGTGTGTGTTCTTTATCTATGTTAGAGTATTAGCCATTCAGACTCAAGAATATTGATCATGATTCATAGTTCACATGAGGACTTTGAGAAATTTGTAAATCTTAAATTATTTCAAAATGAAGGTAATGGCCTAGGGGTGCTGACATTTATAACTTATTGTCTACTATTGTTTTATAATCCTCAACATGGTCTTATGGAATTGCAGGCAAAGCAGTTTCTAAATTCTGTGCCAAGTATCTACACCAGCAGGTGCTGAAGAGTGAATCTTACCGAGCTGGAGATATAAGCACATCATTACAAAAATCTTTTCTTAGGTATTCATGTTTCTTTTTCTTTAGAGCTTTAATTAATATTATTGGATGCCAATAAAAGTCAGTAGATGATACAGTAGGTAGATGTTCTTTACATTTAAAAGCCGATTTGGCTTAGGCTCAACCCTGTGGTATGTGGTCAACTTTTGCACCAAATGATTTAGCCCATCTGTCTACTGTATATTCCCCAGGGGAGATGTGGCATAAGAAAAATATAGCTGTGAACTAAGTTACAGACACTTAAATATAATATTAAAACAATTGTCTTCTCCTATCTTTTTCCTGCTATTCTTATGTGTTACTGGTGTCTTAAAACATATCTTATCATCTCTTCATTTTGTTTGTAGCATTTATACTTGTTAAAAGTAGACTTTAAATCTAACATAGTCTTTCATAAATCGGCCTTGTAAGATGATAGTTATACTTATATATTATAATTTAGTCATATCACAAGCGAGGTGGGATCTCAACAACACATTAGGAATGCCACTGCCTGCTCTGGAAGTCATTTTCAGAATTAGTGTTTGTTTTTAGTTATATTTCTTTTCCTACACAATTAAAAACATTTGCACATTTGGGGCTTTATAGATCCATAGGTTTCATGCCCATAAATGGAAATGGAGATATGGCATTTAGATGAAACTGATTCTATCAAAATTATGTCACTTTTTTTATATTTTCCTTCATATTGGCAGAATGGATGAGATGATGCGTGGACAAAGAGGGTGGAGGGAATTAGCTGTCTTGGGGGATAAAATAGAAAAGTTATCTGGTATGTTAGAAGGCTTTATTTGGTCTCCCAGGGGCAGTGAAGCAAATGAGAATGTCGATGATTGGGCATTTGAGGAGGTAACAACTAAGACGAGTTTCTTGCATCATCATTGCTTGCTTTTCTAACTTATTCCGTTGTTCTAAATGTACGTTGTCTAGGTTTCATTGTATGAAATTTAAGCTTGTAGTAAATAAATTGGAAGTTTTTCAAATTAAAGCTTAGCATTTTTTGCTTTTGGGTTTTATTTAAATGTAAATCTAGTATTTAAAAAATCCTTTTAACATACTTTTGTATGGGTTAGTATGTACATTAAAGTTGACAAGTTATTTGCTCAACTTTCTTTTGCTTAAACTGCGTATAAACTAAACAGCATTTGTCAGCTATGAATTACCACTTTCTTAAACCTTACAGTAATACTTTGCTTGTGTATGTTAGAATTTCATGATTTTAGCTGTTTCATGTGTTCTTAATTTTTGTCAACCTCGTACTTACAGTGCTTGCTTGTTCAGTATGAGAGTGATAAACTTGTGTTAAAATCAACATAAACATTAAAAGTCAAATTCTTGTATGATGTTATGATGTATGTCACAATTTGACTGTGACAGAGGGTCCTTTCTGATTTGGTGATTACAGCTACACATTATAAGGTTTAGATTTTGTATCTTTCCTTTCTTTCTGAATAACCTGGGAAAATTGCACTCACCTTTTCTTAGATGACATCCATATTTTATTTTGTAGAAAACCCCAACTTTTCCTGAGATAGGCATCAAAGGTTAACCCTTTAAACTTAGGTGTTCATTTATTTTGCCCAAATATCAAATTTTCTCCCAAAAATATCGGGTAACAGTGAAAAGAACATGAGAGAAACATTAAGAAAGAGTGAGCATTTTTCTAGTAGTACGTAGCAAAATTATTGAGAAGTTGGAGGTGCTGTCTCTATCTTCAACGAACAACTGCTTTTGCATTCTTAAGAATAGTCAATCATGGGGTGTATTGTGAATGAAGTCTTGTGGATGCCTTCTGTTAGTGGAATATTGTCTGTTATTTTGCAGGGAGTGTGTGTCACACTTATTAAACCAATAAGGCATCTAGGTGTTTCTTCAAAAACTAAGGGAGTGTGTGTCACACAAACTAGGTGTTCGTTTTATTTAGAAGACCTTGTTTGAAGTGAGTTTAATTTCACATAATAAATTCTGTTTGTCAATAAAAAAACTACAAGTTGTAAGGTCTGATGTTGAACATACAAGTTTTGAATCCTACTGTAGAAAGTTTTATTCTGAATTGAGAATGTTATGGTGTAAATTAGGGACCCCATTCTGATTTTACCGGACCAAACTCTGGAAGCACAGCTTGTGTAGCTGTTATCCGAGGAAACAAACTTGTTGTTGGTAATGCTGGAGATTCTAGATGCGTCTTGTCAAGGAAAGGCCAGGTATTCTCACCTTCTTGATGCAGTTTTTTTATCTTCTCTAGTTTCAGCAGGCATGCGATGTTAAGCTTATACGGTGCAGATATATGATAATAAAAGGTGCTAATTCTGGCTATAATTTTGTTTTCAGAGATGTACTCTTTTTTTGACATAAAAGGTCTGTTTACATTTAAAGTGAAATAGAGAGGAAAGAAACAGGAAGAATGGAAATGAAAAAAAAAATAGAATAGGAAAATGTTGTTTGGATAGATAGAAGAAGAAAATTCTCTGTATTTGTTTGGATTAAGGTGTGTATGATCAGTTCCATCGCACTAACCCGGCTAGGCGCAACATTGATTTTGGTGGGTGTTATAAAATTAGATCTAGTGTATTGGGCTTGGGTTGAGTCAGTCATCTCAACCTGCTCTGAGGTCCTATATTTCTTTAAAGTGAGTTCTTTTTAGCAATTGTATATTTATGGCAGTGGTGTAATATGACAGAAGGCAAAAATTCTCTCTATAAACATGCCATTGCGGCCTATGGCCCCACATTGGGGGCCTTCCTTCACAAATTGCCTATAAATTGGCCACGCCATTCTGCCATGTGGCCACTATATCTAACTGTTCTGATTTATAGTAAAAGTTTATCAAGCAAATTAATAACTTGTAAACATGATATTTATTTATTTATTTTGAAATATACAGTATAAAATATATTTATATTGAACTAAATAATAAAAGATGTTAATACGAGTATATTATATTAATAAATCATATTCTTGTCTCGTTATCTTCTCTTTTCATGGGTCAGGCATGATCACACATAAATGGCTCTATAAAAATCTCAAGTTGTTTAGGGATGAAGATAAAATCAGCCTCCCTTGTCTCATGCTCATCCCTAGCTTGGATGCTAGGAAGAGTAAGTAGAAATAAATAAATGTATTATAAAATAAGTTTGTTTTTTATAATAATACAAAACGTTAAATTTAACAAAAAATGTAAACCTTGTACTGCATTATATTTTTGTTAACATTCAAATTAGAATTTCTTTTATCTTCTTATGTTATGAAAAGTTATTTAATTTTAAAAAAACGGAAAAGAAATGATCGAATGCAGAAAACATTTGCCCCAACTTTAGGATGATTTTTTTTAATGCAAGATCCTTCACCAAACTAATTTTCTTTTTACTGTTCTCTTTTTCCTTCCTCTTTATTTACTCAAGAAAACATATGGTTTGAGGTAGAGGGACTAAGTAAGGACATTCATATTTTAACACTTTGTTATTGTATTGATATCACAAAAACTAATTTTGGCATCTAAATGCATCCTTCCAAAGTCTAAATTTCTCCTGTACCTGTCAACACACTAAATGTTTCTGACTTATTTTCCAAAAATTATGAATTTACTCAGATTAATGAATTAGTGTCTGTGAATAGATACCTTCTGTGCATGGGACAGCCATTGTTTGACAATACTCATACTCACAGTTATGTACTGAATATTTATTTGCAGGCACACAATTTATCTAAGGATCACAAGCCTGATCTTGAGGCTGAGAAAGACAGGATTCTAAAAGCTGGTGGTTTCATCCAAGTTGGACGGGTCAATGGAAGTTTAAACTTGGCTAGAGCAATTGGTAGTAGAAATTATTTTTTGTTATAAATTTTTAGTGTAAAGCAAAATGTGAGGTTTATTGTTTTCTGAATGTTTTATAGTTGCTGCCATGATATTTTTTATTTCCCACCAGTACACAGTGTTTTGTAATATCAATTTCTTTCTATTCCAGGAGATATGGAGTTCAAGCAGAATAAGTATTTGCCTGCCGAAAAGCAGATCGTGACTGCTGATCCGGACGTAACTTCAGTATGTATTGCCATATGCATTATTTTATTTTATAATTAAGTTAATATTTATGGATTGCCTCTTTCTTGGACCTTTGTTATTTGTGATGTTATACAAAAATATCTTGGAAGAAATATAACATGAATTCCTTATACATCTTTTGGCATCACTCCAATAGAAAAACATATTGAAATAGAGAGGAAAGAAACATGAAAATAGAAATAAAAGAGAAATAGAGGAGAAAAGGTATATTGATTGGATGGATAGAAATAAAAGATGGAGAGAAGTGAAAAAAGAGTCTCTGCCTGTTTGTATGAGTAGAAACTATTGTGGAAAAAATAAATAAGTTATTTTAAAATACTTTTACTCTAATTAAAAATTAATTTTTAATACATTATTTTTTCTTAACATAAATATTCTTTATTTTTTTATATTATAATATAAAATATTTAAAAATTAAATAAAAAATGAGATTATTTTCCTGCTACTTCAGTCCAATTTGAAAGAAAAATGTGTTCTGCTTTTCTCGAACAATAGATAGAAATTTGATATTTCTATCTTATCTAGTTACTATTTTTTTCTACTTCATTTTACACCCAACAAAGAAGGGGTTAAAGCGAGATGCTCTTTTGTAGTGTTGTTTTCTACTTTTTTGCTCCAATTCAAATTTATGCGTATACTCTATGTAACAGGTTGAACTTTGTGATGATGACGAATTCCTTGTGATAGCCTGTGATGGAATATGGTAGGTTACCTCTACAAGCACCATCGCAATTACCCAATTTATATAGAAGGCAAAAAAATCCTTATTCTTTATTTTTGTAATTCACCACATAATTTACTTTTATATATAAACTCTCTGCAGGGATTGCATGTCTAGCCAACAGCTTGTGGACTTTATACATCAACAGTTAAAGACAGTAAGTTTTTTATGGCTACCTTTTATTACTGATAGAAAATGATTTGGATACGAAATTGCAAAACTGGTGGTGTCATTTATGAAAAATCATGAATACGCAGGAGAATAAACTTTCTGCGGTTTGTGAGAAAGTATTTGATAGGTGCTTGGCACCAACCGCTGGTGGTGAGGGATGTGATAACATGACCATGATCTTGATTCAGTTCAAAAAACCTTCCAGCCCTGATGTTTCTGTCACGAACGAGCCCCAATCGTCTGCTCAACCACCTGAAACCGATAAAAGTTCAGAGAAAAAAGTAGAATCGAAGTGAGAGAATTTCGAACATGACTTGATAGTCATCAGTATCTTAGTGCGTGTTGAAGCATTGGTAAGCAGAGGTTCTTGGGTAACCATTTTATATCCAAATTTCAGGGTGTTGATTCTCAATAGGGGATTGTAAATTTGTGACAAACTAATCCATGGGCCAATATTGGTTTTGTACATAAGTGTGAGGTTTCTATCATATGAATGGAAAAGAAAAAAAGAATCAGAAAGCATACTGATGTATACTGGATGACTAAAATCACCTTTTGCATACTTACCATTGCCAATGAGTGTGGATCGGCAGAATGCGTAGAAAGAACGTGTTTGGATTCTGAAGTTATGATCAGTAGCAGTTCCTTAAGGATTTTGTGCCATGTTCTTTTTTACATAGGCCTTTGTGGGCTCATCTACCAGTGTTGCTAATTTCTTTTCACAAATTATAAATACTCATTGCTTTTCTTTTATGGGTTCTATTTATTGAAATGAATACTGCGTCCAACAAACAACCATTTTTTGAAATCGCTGGAGTCTTGTTTCTCAGAAATTTTAAATTAATACTGCTCCTATTAATTTATGTTTTATTTTTTTGAGTGAAATACTGTGACATCTACATTTCACGCAATGTTGTTTTCTTTGTATCATGGCACTCATTTTTTATTTCACCTTCTTTTTAAAGGTTCAAATTAACTCCTATTAAGTATAACTAAATGAGTGAAACAATTAATAAGTTCAAGTATATAAATAACGATAAAATGGATGTTACGTTTTTTGGCCAAGTTATAAATGTATGCTAAAAGATATTTAAGAGAAAATATTAATAACGTCTAATTTAATAGAATGGAGAAAATAAAAATATTACACTTTAAAATATGTATTTTAATATATAAATACGTATATAAGATTATATTTTGACACATTTTACAATTGTGTTTGCGATCAATTATTGTAATATTGCTATGAATTTATTAGAAATAGAGTGATATCATTTTACTTACTATGTTTTTATTATTAAAAAAAAAAGGTTAAATATGTTTTTAGTCCCTAAACTATAAAGCGGATTTGTTTTTAATGTAAGGTATATTTAGTCCTCTTCCTTAAAAAAAATCTTAATTTTTTGTTCTTCCAAAATAAAAAATTAACGTTTTTTTTAAATAGAAAGACTAAAATATACTTTANGATGCAGTTTTTTTATCTTCTCTAGTTTCAGCAGGCATGCGATGTTAAGCTTATACGGTGCAGATATATGATAATAAAAGGTGCTAATTCTGGCTATAATTTTGTTTTCAGAGATGTACTCTTTTTTTGACATAAAAGGTCTGTTTACATTTAAAGTGAAATAGAGAGGAAAGAAACAGGAAGAATGGAAATGAAAAAAAAAATAGAATAGGAAAATGTTGTTTGGATAGATAGAAGAAGAAAATTCTCTGTATTTGTTTGGATTAAGGTGTGTATGATCAGTTCCATCGCACTAACCCGGCTAGGCGCAACATTGATTTTGGTGGGTGTTATAAAATTAGATCTAGTGTATTGGGCTTGGGTTGAGTCAGTCATCTCAACCTGCTCTGAGGTCCTATATTTCTTTAAAGTGAGTTCTTTTTAGCAATTGTATATTTATGGCAGTGGTGTAATATGACAGAAGGCAAAAATTCTCTCTATAAACATGCCATTGCGGCCTATGGCCCCACATTGGGGGCCTTCCTTCACAAATTGCCTATAAATTGGCCACGCCATTCTGCCATGTGGCCACTATATCTAACTGTTCTGATTTATAGTAAAAGTTTATCAAGCAAATTAATAACTTGTAAACATGATATTTATTTATTTATTTTGAAATATACAGTATAAAATATATTTATATTGAACTAAATAATAAAAGATGTTAATACGAGTATATTATATTAATAAATCATATTCTTGTCTCGTTATCTTCTCTTTTCATGGGTCAGGCATGATCACACATAAATGGCTCTATAAAAATCTCAAGTTGTTTAGGGATGAAGATAAAATCAGCCTCCCTTGTCTCATGCTCATCCCTAGCTTGGATGCTAGGAAGAGTAAGTAGAAATAAATAAATGTATTATAAAATAAGTTTGTTTTTTATAATAATACAAAACGTTAAATTTAACAAAAAATGTAAACCTTGTACTGCATTATATTTTTGTTAACATTCAAATTAGAATTTCTTTTATCTTCTTATGTTATGAAAAGTTATTTAATTTTAAAAAAACGGAAAAGAAATGATCGAATGCAGAAAACATTTGCCCCAACTTTAGGATGATTTTTTTTAATGCAAGAAGATCCTTCAACAAACTAATTTTCTTTTTACTGTTCTCTTTTTACTCAAGAAAACATATGGTTTGAGGTAGAGGGACTAAGTAAGGACATTCATATTTTAACACTTTGTTATTGTATTGATATCACAAAAACTAATTTTGGCATCTAAATGCATCCTTCCAAAGTCTAAATTTCTCCTGTACCTGTCAACACACTAAATGTTTCTGACTTATTTTCCAAAAATTATGAATTTACTCAGATTAATGAATTAGTGTCTGTGAATAGATACCTTCTGTGCATGGGACAGCCATTGTTTGACAATACTCATACTCACAGTTATGTACTGAATATTTATTTGCAGGCACACAATTTATCTAAGGATCACAAGCCTGATCTTGAGGCTGAGAAAGACAGGATTCTAAAAGCTGGTGGTTTCATCCAAGTTGGACGGGTCAATGGAAGTTTAAACTTGGCTAGAGCAATTGGTAGTAGAAATTATTTTTTGTTATAAATTTTTAGTGTAAAGCAAAATGTGAGGTTTATTGTTTTCTGAATGTTTTATAGTTGCTGCCATGATATTTTTTATTTCCCACCAGTACACAGTGTTTTGTAATATCAATTTCTTTCTATTCCAGGAGATATGGAGTTCAAGCAGAATAAGTATTTGCCTGCCGAAAAGCAGATCGTGACTGCTGATCCGGACGTAACTTCAGTATGTATTGCCATATGCATTATTTTATTTTATAATTAAGTTAATATTTATGGATTGCCTCTTTCTTGGACCTTTGTTATTTGTGATGTTATACAAAAATATCTTGGAAGAAATATAACATGAATTCCTTATACATCTTTTGGCATCACTCCAATAGAAAAACATATTGAAATAGAGAGGAAAGAAACATGAAAATAGAAATAAAAGAGAAATAGAGGAGAAAAGGTATATTGATTGGATGGATAGAAATAAAAGATGGAGAGAAGTGAAAAAAGAGTCTCTGCCTGTTTGTATGAGTAGAAACTATTGTGGAAAAAATAAATAAGTTATTTTAAAATACTTTTACTCTAATTAAAAATTAATTTTTAATACATTATTTTTTCTTAACATAAATATTCTTTATTTTTTTATATTATAATATAAAATATTTAAAAATTAAATAAAAAATGAGATTATTTTCCTGCTACTTCAGTCCAATTTGAAAGAAAAATGTGTTCTGCTTTTCTCGAACAATAGATAGAAATTTGATATTTCTATCTTATCTAGTTACTATTTTTTTCTACTTCATTTTACACCCAACAAAGAAGGGGTTAAAGCGAGATGCTCTTTTGTAGTGTTGTTTTCTACTTTTTTGCTCCAATTCAAATTTATGCGTATACTCTATGTAACAGGTTGAACTTTGTGATGATGACGAATTCCTTGTGATAGCCTGTGATGGAATATGGTAGGTTACCTCTACAAGCACCATCGCAATTACCCAATTTATATAGAAGGCAAAAAAATCCTTATTCTTTATTTTTGTAATTCACCACATAATTTACTTTTATATATAAACTCTCTGCAGGGATTGCATGTCTAGCCAACAGCTTGTGGACTTTATACATCAACAGTTAAAGACAGTAAGTTTTTTATGGCTACCTTTTATTACTGATAGAAAATGATTTGGATACGAAATTGCAAAACTGGTGGTGTCATTTATGAAAAATCATGAATACGCAGGAGAATAAACTTTCTGCGGTTTGTGAGAAAGTATTTGATAGGTGCTTGGCACCAACCGCTGGTGGTGAGGGATGTGATAACATGACCATGATCTTGATTCAGTTCAAAAAACCTTCCAGCCCTGATGTTTCTGTCACGAACGAGCCCCAATCGTCTGCTCAACCACCTGAAACCGATAAAAGTTCAGAGAAAAAAGTAGAATCGAAGTGAGAGAATTTCGAACATGACTTGATAGTCATCAGTATCTTAGTGCGTGTTGAAGCATTGGTAAGCAGAGGTTCTTGGGTAACCATTTTATATCCAAATTTCAGGGTGTTGATTCTCAATAGGGGATTGTAAATTTGTGACAAACTAATCCATGGGCCAATATTGGTTTTGTACATAAGTGTGAGGTTTCTATCATATGAATGGAAAAGAAAAAAAGAATCAGAAAGCATACTGATGTATACTGGATGACTAAAATCACCTTTTGCATACTTACCATTGCCAATGAGTGTGGATCGGCAGAATGCGTAGAAAGAACGTGTTTGGATTCTGAAGTTATGATCAGTAGCAGTTCCTTAAGGATTTTGTGCCATGTTCTTTTTTACATAGGCCTTTGTGGGCTCATCTACCAGTGTTGCTAATTTCTTTTCACAAATTATAAATACTCATTGCTTTTCTTTTATGGGTTCTATTTATTGAAATGAATACTGCGTCCAACAAACAACCATTTTTTGAAATCGCTGGAGTCTTGTTTCTCAGAAATTTTAAATTAATACTGCTCCTATTAATTTATGTTTTATTTTTTTGAGTGAAATACTGTGACATCTACATTTCACGCAATGTTGTTTTCTTTGTATCATGGCACTCATTTTTTATTTCACCTTTTTAAAGGTTCAAATTAACTCCTATTAAGTATAACTAAATGAGTGAAACAATTAATAAGTTCAAGTATATAAATAACGATAAAATGGATGTTACGTTTTTTGGCCAAGTTATAAATGTATGCTAAAAGATATTTAAGAGAAAATATTAATAACGTCTAATTTAATAGAATGGAGAAAATAAAAATATTACACTTTAAAATATGTATTTTAATATATAAATACGTATATAAGATTATATTTTGACACATTTTACAATTGTGTTTGCGATCAATTATTGTAATATTGCTATGAATTTATTAGAAATAGAGTGATATCATTTTACTTACTATGTTTTTATTATTAAAAAAAAAAGGTTAAATATGTTTTTAGTCCCTAAACTATAAAGCGGATTTGTTTTTAATGTAAGGTATATTTAGTCCTCTTCCTTAAAAAAAATCTTAATTTTTTGTTCTTCCAAAATAAAAAATTAACGTTTTTTTTAAATAGAAAGACTAAAATATACTTTAGAGGGACTAAAAACAAATTTGTTTTAGGAACTAAAAACATATTAAAAAAAGGTAAGTTACCGAGATATGCAACCTCATAACATATAAATCAGAAGAGATTTTGGTAAAATAAATCAGATTAAAAAAAGCAGTTCATGACAAAGGTTTGTATCTCGTGTTATTTATTTTATTTTATTTTATTTTTAATACTTCTTCAACACGTTTAACTTAATAAAAAAACATACAAGACACAACTAGTAGCTTTTGTTCAAACCCAAGAATAAATTTGGATGACCCATTTCTAAACATTGCATGTGTAAGGAAGATACGTAAAAAAAAAAATATCGAAGGTACAAAACATAATTTAATCAGAAATTATGATATACGTTATGTTGCTAATTTATTTAATAAATATTAAAAAAATCATATTCATTATAATTTTTGCGTTACTAATATAATACATTGTATGTACATCAAAATTAAACTCAATAATTAAAAGTTGTTTAGAACTAAAGAGGGATGGGTTGTTTAAAAGTTGTTTAGAACTAAAAGTTATATGTAAATTTACGTGAATAATAGTGATACTTATTCACTTTGGGTTTAAAGCAATTATCCAGTCTTATCTCTTCTCTTGATATAACAAATTTAGATTGCTTTTTTTTTTTCTAAAACAGTTATGCTAATTAACATAAGAACTGGATTACACGTACGTGTTTCAAGTAAATAATCATACTAGACATTAATTACAAAAAGTAATTAAGACTAAAGACATGCTAATGATTTTCACCTGCACTGATTATCACCACTTTTAAATATGATATTGAACTAAATCAGTGCCAATCATGTCTAAGCAAATAACCAGTTATGCCATAGTTCATGAGTTAGAGATCCTAGGTGTTCTCTTTTCTAACACTCCAACATTTCTTAGGGAATTTACACATTTCATGTTTATAAAGGCTTGGTCTGCTCCAATAACCAAATCATATGTTCAAAGCTATAAAATGATTTTGATTTCATACAACTTTTTTATATATAGTCTATGGAAAAGGAAATTTAAATTTAAGGGTAGATTTTTTCAATACATTTTCCTATTATTTAAATGCATATTAGGTTAAATTACATTATATACTGTTTAGATTCAATATTGCCCTTCGTTTTCTGAATTTAATTTATATATTTTTCTCTTAACATTGTTGAATTTTCATTTTTTTCTATTAAGAGTTGACGATGTTAATAATTTTAACATAAAATTGAAAACCATGACAAAATAAATTTTCACATTTAACCGTTTCCCTATTCGCTTGATTAGCAAAAATGATATTTTTAATTGGGATAATAATATCAAGAATATAATTTTTTTTTATGTTGGTTTCCTCTTGTATTAAATTTAAGTGAGGGGTTCTATTATTGATTGATGAATTCAAATAAAATTATTTTAAATTTGCAACAAATTAATGCATAAATTAAAAGAATTATATATATTTTTTCTATATAATTATGTATATGTATACGTTTCTTATTTTTATAACAATGAAAAAAAATAAAACAGTAACACAAAATTATAGTTGTACAACTAGGGAATGGAATCAAAAGATGTCTTGGTCCCAACATATATTCTTATAATCATGTCCTCCCACTTGAAGGGAAGCCATATTCAGCCAACTAAACCACTAAATATCCCATCAAATTTGAGTCACTCAAGCAATGATTTTGTTTCAATTTGTTTCTATTATATCCTAGAGCTTTTTTTCTTCTTATAAATATCTTAACTCAAATCCCAATTGAGATTTGTTATACCAGCAACAACAAGCTGAGTAGGGTTAATGATCATTCCAAATATATATGATGGAGCAAGACAAGGTATGAGATTGAGAATGCCATGTTCCTCCTCATCTATGAACAATTACAAAATACACATAGTTCAAGAGCACATTCAACATGTTAAAACATGGCTATGTTAAAGCCAAAATGACATGGCCCTCACAATAGGACAAGAAGAAGAGGAAAAGAAGATTGGTTCATATAATTGAAGTTCCAAAAGGTGATAGGGTTCAGACAAAGAATTGCTTAAAGAAGGAGGGGTAACACATGGAAGCATAAAATAAGGCTTGAATGAGGGGACTACCCTAAATGCTTTGTTTTTTTTTTCTTTTTCAAAACATTGTTTCACATATAAATGTGGTGACTTTTTAAACCTAAGTTTGTGTTTTTCTAGGTCATTGAAGTCTAGATTCACTTTCATATATGAAAAATAAAATTTATTTAAAAAAGTTTATATTTAAATTTGAATTATGAATATACATACTTTCACAAGCATGTTGTTCATGTGGCTGTTTTTTTATTTGAGAAATCTTTAGTTTAATGAGAATTAGTCACTTTTATGTATTTTGTGTTTTATGTTTGTTTCTTATGTATGTATATATTGTCTTTTGGACATATTTAGTTTAATAAATATATGGTTTATCATTCATAAATTACACTAATTATACTAAAGTTATTATATTGATTTCATTGAGATGAATTAAGGACCAGATGAAAATAAACGTACACAAGTTACTTTCAAATAATTTTCATGTTATACATTTTATAATGAGTCCATGTCATTTGATTTTATCAGCATTATTGGTCATTGTCAGGTTAATTGTGATTATTGCAATGAAAAACTGTTTTGGTTATGCGGATATATTCAATTGACATGACCTTTTTTAATATAATCAAGCGTAATTTCGAGTTCATAAAGTATAACACATTTAAAAGGATATATATATATATATATATATATATATATATATATATAAAAAATACATAATTAAATGTGCATTATATCAATAGCTTAAGTACTAAAGTGATCTAATTATGGATAATGTCATGAAATATTAATTACGTAGATATTATATCTTATATTCTAATTTAATGAGTGGAAAAATTAGGAATATTGATGTTTAGAAAAAGTAACCAAGAGAGGTTACCTAAAGATGTTATAGTTGATAATGGTTGATTTTACGTGTTTTTGTGCATATACTTTGGTGAATAAATAAACTCTTTAATAGCTTTTACCATGTTTTATCCCGAGTTTTAGTGTGTTTTCATGTTTTCTTCTATTGTAATTAATAAGTTTAAACTCTCGGATGATCCTCATATTTGTAGAGGAATCTCAAGTGGGTCCTCTTGTTGAAAACGGTCTCAATTGAGTCCTAAATTTTGAAAAATCGTAACAATTAAGTAATTTCCGTTAAGTGTTGACAGACAACGTTAACAAATACTGACATGTTACACAGTTAATATGATGATGTGCATTGTTTGAATATGTGAAATTTTATTTAAATTAAGGGATTTTGACATGGCAAAATTTAACTGGTTTATGTTAAAATAATAGATTAGGGATTTTGTTTTCTTCATATTAGGGCTTTCTAAACTATATAGGGTTAGAGAAAGAGGGAGTTGAAAAGGGAATTACGAATTTGGAATTCGAAGACGAGACGATTAAGGAAGACGCAATTTTATGTTTCAATTAAGTTTTTTTTTTTCATGGTTGCAATTGGGTTTGATTATTTGTTTCTAAGTTGATGGATTCACCATGGTTGCATGAAGATGAAGATTCACGTTCTCTGAACATGGGAACTCAAGCCAATCCAAAGAACGCTATGACCAACCACCGTGTGTTCTCCATCTAGTTAGGCCATGGGCATCGTTACCGGTCGCGGTCGGAGCTTCGTCGATGACAGTCACTCCTCCACTCTTCGTGTTCTTCACGCATGAGATTTTCCTTACTCTCCCATTTTCAGATCTCCTCCCACATCTCCATCAAGGTTCTTCACCCCAAGACTAGATCTCATGGCTGCAAGTGACGAAGTCATTGCCGTGACTGGGTACCATCGACGTCCCGCCTTCGTTTTCTATTCCGCCAGATCGCGTGGGTTATTTCCTCTCCTTCATCGTAGGGCCTTCCATGGCCAACACCGCTGAAAGCTTCACGTCGCGCCACCACCGCCGTGATCAGGGACGTCGTCGACATCACCCACCATCGAAGATGCCTTTAATCAGAGTCTCTTTCAAAAATGGTTTGGGATTTTGGGGTATTGTTCTAATTAATGGTTGTTTCTTGCAATAGAAGATGAAGAGATGATTGAAAAATGAGAAGAAAAAAATTTGCAGTTTCAAGTACAATAACAAAATTTGCAGTTTCAAGTACAGTAACAAATTTTTAAAATAAATCCTAATTCCATATTATAATTTAAATCATATTTTCACGTAATAAAATGATCTATCTCAGCATATTTAATGTGCACCACATCATCACATTTTAAC